CAGGTTAAAATATCCCACTCCTATTATTTTGTGGACAACTGTACATATGTATGTATGTATGTATGTATACATACACAAATTAAATATAATAACTTATAGCATTTAGGCGAAGTATTCAACAAAAAAAAAAAAAAACGTTGGTCAACTTTAATCAATATTTCAGATAATATCCCAAATTTCAATGTTCGGTTTTGAGTGATTGGCGAATAGCTAAATCTATATCTTGCTTTACTTTGTACGAAAACAACTGTAAACAAATAAGTTTTTGCTATTTATCGGCATTTTCCATCTCGGTTTAGTATAAATAGAATTCATAGAAAGCTAGTTGGCATCAGTTCAGCATTGTTCTCCAGCAGCGTAGAGTGAAAAAGTATACATAAAATCATTAAAAAAAAAAACAATATGCAAATCCTCTCGTGCATCGCCGTCATCATAGTAGCATTTTTTGGAGTTGCCTTTGCAGGATATGTTCCGCATGGTCATGCCTCGAGTTATGCTTCGATAGTGCAACATAACATTCATGACCATGTTAGTCACGATGCTTATGCACCATATGTTGGTCACGGCCATGGTTACGATCAGCACGATCATCACTATGAACACCATGAACCACATCATTATCCCAAATACGCATTCGATTATGGTGTAAAGGACGCACACACCGGCGATCACAAGAGTCAATGGGAGCATCGGGATGGTGATCATGTCAAGGGTGAGTCCTAAATCAAATCAACTTCATATAGGAAAATCATAAACACTCGTATGTCCATTACATTACTAGGTGGCTATACTCTGGCAGAAGCTGATGGTACTACGCGCGTTGTAGAATATACGGCTGACGATCACAATGGCTTCAACGCTGTTGTAAAACGCATCGGACATGCTCAACATCCACAGGTCTCACACCATGGAGACAGTTACGGTTACGATCACGGGCATTTTTCTGGTAGTTATGTATGAAACCAAACAACTTTATTAAATGAGTTTATGCTTACTAAATGTGTATGGAATATTGATATGACGTTGTTCTTTTCACCAAAGAATATTTGAAATATATTTTTGAAATTAAACTAATGGTTTTTATAAATGAAACTGTATCCAGATATTGATTCAGAGATTATTCTGTCTAACATACTGGAATTAATAAATACTTTCATATTAAGTTTACATGGTAGAGCAATTCTGGGAGATATTCACTCTAGCTAGAGTCAAAATAGAGAAATCCCCTATGAGTAATAAGGCAAACGGCGGCCATAACCTAACCTTACAGGTAAAAATTGCAATTCAGTTTTTCCATGCAATCACTCGACGAATGAAAAAAAAAAAAACAAAATAGTTTGTAAGTCGGGCAAACAATTTGTTCGAGCCAAAAAATAAGAGTCTCATTATTTGGACCAACAAACAATATATTTCTCCGATTCGCTTAAAATTTTATTATGGGTCCTATACATGAAATAGCACGTGTTCGAGGATTTATTTTTTATTTATTTTTCCTTCGGAGATATGATCTGTCAAATGATTTCTTTTATTTGTATTTTCTAGTATTAATCTTTTAATTCGGAATTTATGGGAATAAGTACAGCGCCGGGCAAAAGTACTGGCACCGAGAATTGCAACTTGTAATCAGCTTTTTCAGAAAAATTCGTATAAGTTTTATAGCCCATTGAATTTAAGTTTAAAAAAGGGTGGTGTTATTATTTTCTTCTTACAAAAAAAGTTGTCGAACATACCTGATCCCTCTGGCTGTGTCAGTGGAACGCGTACTCCGCTTACCTGCCGCTGACTCGTCGATACGACGCTTCCTTTGCTTACTAAACTAAGTAAGTTATTTAGTACTTAAATTACGTTGTACTACAATTAGGGTAAACAACGAACTAAACATGTCGTTGATTGACCCGCCTTCAGCGCCTGCTACGTTTCTTAAAAATTGTAAATATATAATTTTTTACTTTTTTATATTTCTTTTTTCTTTCTTTTTTTAATTTTTCATGTGGCGCGGGCCCTAAGGCTTGCGCCTTTGTAGCTTATGCTTAAATGCGGTCCTGTACCGAATAAGCGATTTAATGTCGTAACCATTATAAAATTTAACAAACTGCGATTCATTGTCAAGACTTTACCAAACGTCTCCGTAGAGCAAAATCTCTATTTAGTTTGCCAAATAGAGCGTAGAGTTGTCGCAGAGTTTTCGATCTAGTTGCGATGGACTGTGTACAAGGCGAAAAAGTCTCGCTAAATAACTCTCACGTAGAATATGTAGGTGAGTCTCTCGTCGAGTTCTATTGAGTGTATACGACTTTAAGAGTATATTGCAAGAAAACGGTAAATTTTTGGGCAAATATTTGATTACATAGTGATGTAGAATTTCATCTACTTTCATTTGGAACTAAACCCTTCTTTGTATTTTGAAATTCATTTTTTGAATTAATACGCAATATCGACATCAATTACCCCACTGAGTGACGCGTGCCTGTGCACGAACCTCTATGAATTTGTAATGCGGTAGTAGCTTGGAGACTAAAATCGTCGGGTATCGAAGATTTGCGTAGCCTTGTGTACGAAGGGCATGTCTAGCGCTGACACCTAAACAAACCTCCATAATAAAGTGTTCTTATGTAATCGAAAAGGAAGTTTTTAGAAACCAAAATAGAGAAACTACTTAAGGTACGCATGGTGTCATAGTTGATGCCATAAAATACTACACATCTCTAAAAAAAAAATTGTGAAAATTAAGAGGCATACAACAATAACATAAATTTTAATAGTATGTATAACAAAAAATTAAGTAAGTAAATTTCGGAGTAAAAAATGCATCGCCTAAATTTTTTGTCTCGGAAACCAAGAAACACATAATATAATGTAATATGTTCTTTACCAAAAAAGAGCTTACGGCACACAACAATACGACATCCTTGTTAAATAATCGAAATCCCAGGCTTTAAATAAGTAGAAAAAATATTTCTTTTACAAAAATAAAACAAACTAATAAAAAATAAAAGTTCAAATTAAAGTTATAAATAATATTTATTGGGATCAAAAACAAAAAGTGCAAACAAAGGATATATGTATGTATATAGCGACTAGTTAAGTATCACACATCTATATTTACAAACCTAGGGAGCATGCACTCCAAGCACATTTGTATGCTATTTTACTTTTACTACTTTCTTGTTAATCGCTTCAGTGACATTTACCTGCAATTTACTGGTTGGCGGCGAGACGACCAAGCAAATCTTCATTGTGGCACGCAAGAATTCCTCGCGTTTTGCATTCAAATCCTGCGGCACCGCGATTGGAGATGTCACGGCCGATTGCTTTAACGGTACCCGCTTCGTTGCGGCGCCCATAACGGCTGCAGGCGATGTTGTGGCCGTCGTTGTTGCTGCGCTTGTTGTGACTATGCCATCGCTATTGTTTGAAGCACTTCCGCTGGCGGCGGGGAGGAAGGGGTTGAGACTCTTTATGAAGCTACTGCCGGAAGCGAACGTGCTTGGTGTGGGCTTGCAAACAGCTGCTGCGTCTGTAGCTGCATGTGACTGCTGCTGTTGCTGCTGCTGCTTATGTGACGGCTGTTGGTGCAGTAAATGTCGCGTTGGTGAGTTCAAAATGAACAGCTTTCGTCGCTGTCGTCCTGGTGTTGACGATGAACTGGAGGCCGCGCTGGAAGTGTGCAGTGCGGGCGAACAGCTGCTTGCCGAGACTGCTGTTGGGATAGCACTATCACTATGTGTAGACTCTTGTGAGCCCGCTCGGCTGTATGCTGGTGTTGGCAGTTGCGCGGAATGTGTGCCACCACCCGCCACTGTAGTAATGGCATCCGCACTTTTACCGTACTTGACGGCCGTCACATTGTCATCGAGCGGCTCGTCTTCCTTGTCGTAGGCGCTGTGATAGGTGCGCGCGATGATTTCGGGCAAAAATGGATTATTCGGAGAGGTTAGTGTGTACTGGTAATATGATCCAGCCGGCTCACCCGAATCGGCGCGCTTCAACTTTGGTCTCCCGCTGGCAGACATATTGTTATTAGTTGGTGGTGGCGCTGTGCAAACACCATTATCGTCGTCGGACTCCTCTGGAAAGCTACCGACATAAAAGTCTGCGGCCACATGACTACCACTACCACTGGTCGTTGTGAAGCCCAAATTCTCCCACTCTCCCGATGAGGAGTTATGCGATGAGGCTGTGAATGCTTCTTTCGAATGTGCATGGAAGCTTCTGGTGCTTTCGTTGCTTGACTTAAAAAGAAAGTTTTGTAGACGCGTGAGCTTCGTGGAGCTGCTATCGCTGGTAATGCTACAACTTCGGCTTACTTGTTGTGGTTGCGTATCACTTTTACTGCTACTTTGAGATTGCAATTTTTGCTTTTCATGTTGTTCCTTCCCCTTCCAATCGCTGACGTTTTTGGCTTCGGCACTGCCGCCATCTCCACTGACGCCCCCACTACCAGATCCAATTATGCCACTCGAACCGCTCGCCGCTGCGATACCGCCTCTGCTACTCGTGCTCACTTCGCCGCCCATTGATGAATTGGATTGTTGCCACGCCCAATAGCTAATGCTCGACTGAGAGGGCGTACGTTCGGAAAATTGCTCTCCAAAATTGCTCTCCAAAGAAGTACTCGAGTTCGTTGTGGCAACACTGCTTAAGTGATGGTAAGCGTACTCGGGTGGTGTATCTGCATCAGGGCTATCCAAGAGTAGCGCTGGATTGATGTGTCCTCCGCTGGTAGAACTGTACACACTACTTATGCTACCACTGCCTACCGCAATGCTACCACTCCCAGCTCTACTACCACTCAGTCCAGGCAAATGAGTTAGAGAGAAGATCGAATGCGAGCTGCGCTGGAGTGGCGGCAATGTTCGCAAGCCGAAGTATCCAAAATTAAAGTGACTGCCGCCACTACCGTCAACGAGGCTGTTGCAACTGCTGTTAGTTTCTTGCGGCGAATATCGATGTGCGACGTGATTCGCGCTGATGCTGCCACCAGTTAGACCCTCCAAGCTGCATTCGGGCCGCTTGATTTCAAGCGACTTGTGTTCGCCACGTCGAAATGACCGTCGTAACTTATCGGCGAATTTGCCACGTGACTCTTTGGAAATTTTGCTCTTTCCCGACGCAGAGGTGGGTCGTCCGCTCGAAGATTTGCTGGTTATTGCTGTAGAGACTTCGTCCTGCTTATTCGTTGCCTTTACTTTGGAGTTTTTATCACGCTTTTGATCGTCGTCGTTTTCCGTTTGGATGTGGTCTAGCAATTTTTCCTGCATTTGCGATGGCGTTGGTGTCCCTTTGTTTACTGCTGAAACTGTTTTCGCGTTCGTTATTTTTGTGTTTGTTGTTGTTGTCGCTGCGACGACAACTATTGCTGCTTCTAAATTGCCGTGTTGCTTCTTTAACTGCTGTATTGTTGCTATTGCTGAGCTTGCGGTTGGTGGCGGAATCGCAAAACCGCCGCCCATTACGTCTGTGCTGCCGTCTTTCAGGCGCTGAGCGGCATCAATGGCAGCTTGTGCCGCGGTTGGCGTTTCGGTGGAAGGTTTGGTACTCGCAGTTGTGAAGGATGATTTTATTGAACTGGCACTTGTTGCTGCTATTGTTGTAGTATTGACTTGTTGCAGTTTCAATGCAGCCGAAAATGTGTTTCCTACACTTTCTGTCGTTCGAACTAATTTGTATCGTTTTGATTGCTTTTGCTGTGGTGATTGTTCAGGTTTTCCCTCTTCTCGTCGTGGTTGCTGCGGCTGTGTTGGTTGGTTCCTATTTTTATCGAAAACTTTGTCAACACTTTGCTTTTGTGTTGATGTATTATCCATCTGTAGAGCCAGCTTGAGTTTTTGCTCGCTTTTGTTGTTTTAAATTACTTTTTAATTGCATAAATATAAGCAAAACCATTTGGGTTTTTTTTCTTTTTGGTCTCTTTTAAAGTTCTTTATTGCAATGATATTTTCTATTTGCAGAATTTATCTACCATTAAGTTGTGGGGTTTAATTTTTTTGGTTTCAATAAATAAAACATTTTTTTAAGCTTGAGTTTTATTTAAAATTATTTAAAGTAATCTAATCAAAATGTAGAGAAGCGTTTTAAGTTTTCCCCTAAGATCTTTTAATTTAATTTTTAGTTTTTGTTTTGATCTTAAAATTTGTATTGTTTAATCGCTAGTTTATTTTTTAAGCTTTGATTCCAGTTGATTAAGCTGAAAGGCAATAAATTAAGTATCCTAAATTGCTTTACAAATTTCCAGTGTAGTTTCGATTCTTATTCCGGCCACAATTTCAAATTCTGTTGATTTATTTATTTTTTATTATTTTTTAAATGGATTCCATTATTTCTCATATTTCCGTTGAAGCCGCCACTATATGTATCAACTTCGAGTGTATACGAGTTTTTATTTTTTATTTTATTTATTTTTGAACAACTGTAAATATAAAATTAAAGGTTCCAAAATTAAATCGAAACAATTTTTAGCTGAAAATATGCCACGCTAATATTATATCTATCTATCTATGTATATAAAAATGAAATGTTTTCCGTATGACGGCGATGCCTGACCAAACGGCTCAACCGATTTCAATTCTATAAAAAGCACATTTTTGGACCTTCTGTGTGGAAGATTTTTTGATTTAAAAAAAAGTTAAAATTTTTTGTTGTTGTTGCCGAAAAATAAAGAAAGCGGAGACGTCACGATTTCACAATTTCATAGATTTTTCTGTACATTAAATGTCACTAAACTGCTAAACGGCTAGCCCGATTTGGTTCATATTTCGAACATGTGTCAGCGCCAAGAAAAGAAATATTCTAACCAAAAATGCACTCGCTAAGTGGCGCTAGGGTCGCAATATTCCTAAAAACTGCATTCTCTTGCCGATCTGGCTCATATTTAGAATACAATTTAGCCAATTGAAAATAAATATTGGGAATTAAAATGTACACGATAGGTGGCATTGTGGACGAGATATTCCTTAAATTCTTATACACTGAGGGCGTGGCACCTCCCATAGGCGTGAATTTTTTTTATCAGCTATAACTTCGGAACCATAGGTCACATGAACTTCAAATTTGGTATGCATGCATACATATGGTAGGCGCTTATAGTAGGCTATATATACATGTGTTTGTAAAAAGGGGCGTGGCACATCCCATAGGAGTGAAAATTTTTATCAGCTATAACTTCGGAAACATAGGTCATATGAACTTGAAATTTGGTGCGCAGACGTATCTATAGTAGGTGCTTATAGTAAAGTATATATAAATGGCTTTGTAAAAGGGGGCGTGGCACATCCCATAGGCCGGGAAATTTTATCAGCTATAACTTAAGACCATAAGTCACATGAAATTGAAATTGGGTATGCAGACGTTTCTATGGTAGGTGCTTATAGTAAGGTATACATAAATGGCTTTGCAATTTGCCGTTATTCAGCTTAAACAAAGTGGTTCCACTTATTCACGTATATCTTATATGAAATGTAGCAAATGAAACGTAGAAAAACTCCCCATAAACAGTAAATATGTATGCACTTCAGTTTTCTATAAACTTTGTATTTTTTATTTTTTTATGAAAATATTAAAAAAAAATTTTAATTTAACAGAGAAAAAATTTAAGAAATAATAGACTTTTTTTAATTTTTTTGATTTGTATTAAGCCTGTTTTTTTACAAAAAAAAAAAACAAGTAGTAATTTGAAAAGAAGAAAATCGGTGGATAAATAAAAAAAGTATCAAATACATAAGTATGAGCAGTAAAGAATGTCACTCATACGCCAGGTACGATTATGTACATACATTTTCATATGACCTTTCACTTTTTTTTTATTCACATATCTATCGACATTCTTCGTTAGCAGCATGCTTTTTTTGTAAAGGAACAGGCTTTAATACAAATGAAAAAAATTTGAAAAAATGTTAAGGGTTTTCCCTGTTAAATTTGGATTTTTTTTTTTTCATAAAAAAATAAAAAATCTAGAATGATTAAATAATAAATTTCTCAAAAAATACTAAGTTTAGAGAAAACTGATGTACATACATACATATGTATATACTGTTTATGGGGAGTTTTTCTACGTTTCATTTGCTACATTTCGTAAAAGATATACGTGATGAAGTGGAACCATATTTTTTAAGCTGAATAACGGTAAATTGCAAATATCTCGAAAACATATAAATGGAAAAAATACTAAATTTCGGAATCAGCAAGCGATTCTGCATAGGAATTGGATAGTGGCATCCGCTGCGCATTTTTGTAGTAAACCAGTGTTTGAACATAAAAATGTTATGATATTGTTATAAATATAAAAATGTTTGTGTTTTTCTCTTGCTTTTCTTGCTTTATTCCGACACTATAGAAGTTGATGTTTTTTGAAATGTTTTAAATTTTTATTTGCCTTAACGTATGTACATATTTGAAAAAAATAAAAATTTTTGATATTCCAATAATTGGATTTATGTTATAACGTTAGATAAGTAGTTATAGTTTCCAGTTTTCATACTAAAATCCTATGAAAATTCACTATTTTGCTGCTATCTCCCTCACCACCAGCGTAATACTTTTTAGCTTTAAATCGATCTGGATCTTGCTTTAGCAACCGAATTAATGTCTGGCAAATTAATTTTAGATTCATTAGTACTTAGGCAACATCATATTAAATTTTGAGCTTTACTAAAATGATTTGAAAAATTATTATTTTTTTAATAAAAAATGACGTCTGGCACAATGTTAGCAACAACGGACATGTCTGGCAATAATAAATCTATGTTTCTAAAAGTTAGTTAAAGCCAATGAAACGAAAATTAGCCTTACTAAAATGACTTAAAAAATCTGCATTTTTAACTGTAAAGATACGATGCGCACTAGTCAACGCAACCATTACCGCCTGTCAGATGGCCCCCACAGTAGTAAAGATTGCTAAAGTAAGTACTAAAGTTTAGATATGAATTAGATAAGAATTAGGCAAATTAGCCACTTAACAGTAGTAAGAGTTTTTATTTTTTTAATTTTGAATTGTGTCGTTATTGCAGAGCACCATCGATATATTCAATCAAAAGCAAATATCTACATATATATTTATTAATAAGAAACTAATATGTATGCCACGTGTGTATGTAGTTAATCGTCATGGCTGCTTTGTCTGCACTTAAGTAGCATTAATCATTAGCAATATTTATGAGCAATTGTTATTTAAGTGGTGTACCTACTGTTAAATCAGGGTAATAATTTAAGATCTACTTACATATGTAAATATGTTTGAAGATAAGTGCATACGTACATACATACATATCGTCATTTAAAGTACAAAACCACGTATGTGAGGTAGCATAAATTATTTTCTAGAGAGTAAAATCACTCATATTTGAAAATGGTTCTCTTTTTTATAAAACAATCGCATTTCTGGCTAGTTTATTTTAGGACGAATGGATAACGCTTGATTGAGCCAAGAGCTTGTGTGAGCAAATCCAATTTTTGACAAAAAAATTTCAGTTACGCGATTTTTCAGAACGGCGATACGCGGTCTTGTACTTTAAACGACGATATTTATACCTTTAATGAGCATGAAATGGTATTGTAACTTTGGTCTGATGTTTGTAAGTACCAGAAAAGGAAGAGATAGACCCAGTTAAATGTATACTTTCAGGCGGGTCGAAAATCTATTTTTTCTCAAATCACTCGGTAATAGTGAAAATATATTGTATCATGAAGTCAACAACAAGCCTGCAAAATATTAGTATTTTATTTTAATTGTAAGAGCCCGCGCATCGACCGCCACGTGACCCACAAGCACGCTAGACGAATAAGACCAATTCTTGTTAAAAATTCTGGGTTCAGCAAAAAAGGTTTGGTGCATATTATTACATAATGAATCCGTTAAAGCAAAAGATAAAGTCAAATATCCTTTCTCGCAGCCCTTTAGGTAATCGTTAAACTCAAAGTTATCTGTTTTCAATAAAATTTTAATAGTTCTATTAGGTATTGCACTAGCCTATAGTCAAAAGATGTAAAGAACAGCATTAATATTGCTGGCGTGCATTTGGGTCGCTGGTTCCAAATATTCCAATCTTTTTTTAATATTCGCTATAATTTGCGAATTTTCACAAATTTAGGAACAATTTCAGTTGCTCTAAAATAAAAGCCATTATTTTCCATCATCGCGGAAAAGATTTGTTTATGCAAATGAGTATGGAAACACTGAACAGGCACAACTTCTAGAAACACCAATAAGTTTACTTATGTTTATGCATACAATATAAATATTGCAAATATGTATAGGAAAATTACAAAAAATTTAGGTCAAACATTTTTTTATTTTCAAATAATTTGTTTATAATCGGAACGATTTTCATCATATTATTATCATAAATCAGTAACCGCGAGTCTCGCATTCAATTTGGTAATTATTACGTACCGATCGAGTAACATTTACCAAAGTTATATCGAAAAAATTAAGTGGATCTCCAGTTTTTCTAAACAAATTTCTCTTCAATTGTATAAATAACTTTTAAATGAAAGAACCGGATTACAGAAAAGTGTGCCAGGGAGCGACTTTTTTCGTTCAAGCTAAATGCAAAGCAATATCGTCCAATTGGAAAGTCCTCAAAAGGATTTCCCAGGATATGTTAAAGACTATTGCATTTACCTACAGTCACTTTTTCACATAATGGAATTAACTAAAATATTTATGTATATCTAGACACTTATTGCACGTCCCCTACTTTCACATAATGACAAATTTAGAAACCGCGAAAAATATGCTTCTTCGGTGACTAATGAAACCATTCCGCACCAATTTTCAAGACTGCATGAATGGACTCACCCTAATTGTATTATGTTAATGTATGTAAATACTTATATGCTTGAAACTAGTATTAACTTATCAAACGATTCCTAGTCTTTGACAATACATGTTTGACTTCATTCACCACGATCGTGAAAACTGACCAAATCGGCGCGACCAAGTCCATGATGCTTTTAATATTATATAAAGATCCGAAAACATTAAAACGATTAAAATAAACCTTGTCTCACTTTTTTACATTTTTCACTTGGTTGCTTAAGTAATGAAGAATTGCAAAGTTCATAAGGGAAAATTGTTGTTTTATCTTAATATCTTTAAAACTTGTAGACTTATTGAAAAATGACAAATGAACGTGAGGTACTAAATTTAATGAGCCTAAATTTTATATATCGTCCTGTTTGTAGCAATTAACGCATTCCATAAATATTACCAGCCAAAGTTTCATTTTCAAAATTCATACACTTTGATTCAATTGCGCGGGCTAAAGATAAGTTTTAAATTAATCTTTCGTGGCCAATAACAATTGGCTTAGACCTAAGACATCATAATATTACTATTACAATACGGTAAAATGCATTTTATTTTCTCCCCATACAAAATCGACCCAGCCTAGTATACTTATATGATGAGAACATCGAGCTAAGCCGATTTAGCCATGTCTTGTATGCACGTATGTTTGTATGCAATCTAGTTTCTCAGTTTTCGAGATATCCGACTGAAATTTGGTAAGTGAATATATTTTTAGAATGTCTTAATCATTTTTTGGAACCGAAAAAATTGGACCACTATAACATATAGCCCCCATACAACTGATTGTTCAGATATGAGATTTTTCGTTATAACTCCTCCATTTATGCAGCTTAAAACATGAAATTTCGAACTATTTGCTCTCATCAAAAACAGATTACTTACATTGAAAATGGCGAAGATCGGGTCGCTATAACCTATAGCCTCCATACAACTGATTGTTCAGATATGAGATTCTTTGTTATAACTTCTCCGTATATGCAGCTAGAAACAGGAAATGTCGCACTATTTTCACTCATTATCAACAGAAAGTTTACAGTAAAATTAACAAAGATCGGGTCACTATAGCCTATTTATTGCCTCCATACAACTGATTGTTCAGATATGGGGTTTTACTGTGAAACTTCTTTATTTGAACAGCTAAAGCCGAGAAATTTCGTGAGCTGTCATACAAAGTCTCAGAGAAAAGCGTCCAAATCAGTGCTGTATAAGCTGTATCTCCCCTATACCACTGATTCTTCAGATACAAGCTTTTGCAATACAACTCCTTTATGTACGAAGCTAAAACTATTAAATTTTCTGATGTTCACGAAAGAAAGAAATTAAGCCTTCGCCGCTGCTCTTACTTGTTAGAACTTCATAAACGCACGTGTACAAAATTCACGGTTTTTCTTCTATATTCGTAATTGTTGAGTATTTCAACTTTGCTAAGAAGATAAAACACGCATACAACTTCTACTGAGTGCCCAAGTATCTTTGCCATAAGAATGCCAGGAAAATCACAAATGTAAAGCGGAAATTAAATTAAAATGAATTCTATCTGATTAAAATAAAAATAATATTTATACGTACTAATTTCCAATTCTGCGACCACTTCCTGGCTAATTTACTTAGTGCGACAGGAGAACGGGCATGCACCCTCTATAGCGTCTGTTATTCTGCACGCAAGTCATTCCTTTTATTGCTATTTATTATTGTTGGCACAACATAATCATAAAATCCGATATGACCTACGGCCAAAGCACAGAAAAATACTTTACACTAAAAATAAAAGAGGAATAAAGTAATGGAAGGAGATTGAGATACAGCGAGGGAGTGCAGTGAAAGACGTACGCAAAATGGCAATTGCTCAAGTGAAATCGGTCAGTGCGGCGACACTGATTGTTAAATTGATGGAGCTGATGATGATTTTTGTTCTGGTATCGCGGCTGCTGCGGCCTCCGCAACACACTTAACCAATGAACACACATTTTAATATAACAATACGGAAATTTCTATAAGTTGAAGTATTTTGCCAGCTGCCAACTCTCGGTTGGCCTTTTCGACTGCCTTTTGTAGTTTTTGCAGACTACTGGCAATACGCCAGTCCAGTCAATAGATGCTTGAATGCCGCTCAATAAATTTAAAGCTGGCTAGTGTTAATTGACTACAGGCAATTTAATGCTGGCTGAATAAGTGATAGACAGCGGCGAAGTGGCGTCATGGTTTTCGGGGTGAACGTGTTCGAAATGTCAATGGTAACGGTTCTGGCGCCTGAAAGCAGGCCATTCGATTTAGCAGAGGTTTGACTGCTGATGGAAATGAGTTATATGTACTTGTAAATAGCTTAAAATGAAGTAGCACAGTTTGGAAATTTCCCAACAATACTTGTTTAGCAGCTTGAAAAGCATTTGTAGACGAGGCATCTACCCCATGGAGCTAATGTGCATATTTTTCGGCATTTAAGTTTTGACACGTTGATGAATGGCGGTCAGCAAAAAAAAAAAAACAAGAACAAAGTAAATCGGCGTGCTGTGCGCAAAGCCACAAATGCGCATTAGGTTGTGGGCCAATGTTTGATCGATAAACCAATAAATTTCCCTAGGGGCGAGCGGGTCGTTGAAAATGCCAACTGTGCCACACATTGTGGCAATATGCTATAAATATGCACATATGATGGCTTTGATTGAAAGCTCTGAAAGTTTAATTCAAAATTGAAAACTGAAAAATGTTTATACAAAAGGCTTAGAATTTAAATCCAACGTGGCCGCAATACATCGTAGGTCTTCTGGGAAGGAAATTTTGCTAATAAGGATTCGAAATGGTATTACAGAATAGACAAAAAGTACTTTTGAAGTTTCTCAAATACGTTTTAAATAGTTTTAGTTATACTCGTATATATATGAGTTGTGGATTATACTATTTAGCCTTCTATTTAAGTTATACATATACAGTGGCGGAGAAATAATTAGCGATGCGACATTTTAAGAAGCTTTGGATATTTTTCCTTTAGTTGTTTAATGCTTATTATTTTCTTATAAAAGTACAGCTCATTATCTAACAAAAACCATGCAAGTCTGAATTTCAAACTTTGTATGTACAAAAATTGGGAAATTTGACAAAGTTTCATCAAAAGTGCAAGTTTGAGGTAGCTAGGGCTTTGCGTTGATTTTTTGAATTTTTTTTTACTGACAGCGTCACACATTTGCTGCCATACAAAGGACATATCGACGGCTGACTGGAAGATCGAACTATCTCGGCAGCCAGTTCGAAAACGCCCTATATCAGAAAACTTTTCAAGAACGCCATATTTCAGAATTAAGATTAAGAACGCCCTATATACACATATTTACAATATATTTTCAGTTGAGTTAGGGCGTTTTTGAAGCGGCAGCTAAGATAGGGCGTTTTTTAACCGAATTCTGAAACAGGACGTTCTTCAATCAAACGTTGCATGGTTTTTGTTAGATAGCGAGCTGTACTTCTATAAGAAAATAATAAACATTAAACAAACAAAGGAAAAATATCCAAAACTTCTTAAAATGTCGCATCGCTACAGAGCCCAAATATGAACCGATTTTAAGTTTCTCTTCTTTAAATAAAAGATAATTAAATTTCGCGTCGATCTTTTTGTGGCGATTTTTTAAAAAAGCTCTGGTTTTTTATTTATTTACGTTGAAAATTAAAGAAACAAAAATTTCACGTTTGAATGCTTCCACATTTTAGGAAAATACTTGAAATTAGTTTAAACTGCAATTATTTAAAAAACTATTCATAAACATTTTTCCATAAGAAACATTAAATTAAAAAATATTTTTAATTTGCCATCTATACTGATATATATTTTGAAAGAAACTTGAAATCGGTTCATATTTGGGCTCTCACAATTCATTTGTCCACAGCAACCTTTTTTGCCCCAGTGTGCGGCGTATGTATAACTTTAATAGAAAGCTTAAATAGAATAATCCAAAACACATACTCGGGCATGGCCTTTGGAATGGGCTATAAATTAGTAACATTGAATAAACAGTTCAAGAAACCACTCTTCGAAAATGAATTGTCAACTTTGTCAAAATATATGGCGGCGACATTAGCTGCTTACATATATTTGCACGCATGCAAATTCGAAATCCACTTTACATTCAATTTTGGTACGAAGAGATCAACTTAATCAATGCAATGCGAATATTTTCATAAATTTTTTTGGAGACAGATAATAGCGTGGCATATTATTTGGTACACAAACTACATATTTTAATGTTAAAGTATCTATACATACTTACATGTCTGCTTAACAGGTAAAAAGTCTCGGTTACGTTTTTCGAATTGTGTTCATACGAACGAACGTATATATCAACATACAAATGCTCATTTGTCACGGCTTACACTTAGCAAAAAGTAGGACGCCGTTTTCGCTCAATTGCTTGTAGAATATTGTAAAAACATGTAAATACGTAAAGAAAGTTACCTGCAAAGAAAATAATATATTATTGAAAAAAATTTAACAATTTTATTTCAGCAGAACAATTATCTACGGCATTTACTATATGTATATGTACATAGCTATAAATTTTAAATAAATTCAAATGTAATACCTTAAAAGCGTATCGAAATGTAAACTTGAGTAAATTGTGTTGACAGAGCAAAAAAAGTGTTAATTTATCGCATACTTTCTGGCTAATTGTTGATTTTTAGGAATTTGAAGGTAACAAACTGGGCTTTTGGGGTTATGTTGAAACGTTGCTAAAGGCCTGCATGAGCCTCCTTCTTTAAGCCCTCATCCTGTTTCGCTTTTCTCAAATATTTACTTATGTACATTGAGGTGGGCTCATTTGCATTTCACAAAATGCCAGTTTTAATAATTTAATTTGAAAAACAAACAACTCCCGCCCATAGGAATGTTAAGCAAGCATTTGTCTAATGGAGCGTAAGGCAACCACCTTTATATGCACGTTAGGGTGGTCCAAAAATGCATGTGAAAAAGTAAAGTCGGAAGGATTGTTCTATTCCAGAAAAGAGATACCCCTATTTTTTATTTCAAAAATCAAAATATAAATAGAGGTCGCACAAAGCCCACCAAGTTTTCCATGTCTTTTATATGGGAAAAACGACTTTTCGTAGAAATGGTATAGAATTCCTGAAAACCAAAATTTTCGATCGGAAAACTCTGTTTCTCTTCAGTTCTAAAACCCAATAGTTTATTTAAAAATTTTTTCATTGTAACTATATTTCATAGGTCCGCCGAAAACCCCAAAAAAAGCAATAAAAAATCTTTAGTATTGAAACATGATTAAATAAACAATTGGGAGTTATTATTGGAATCTCCTGAAGAGAACCAGAGTTTTCCGATCGAAACATATTGATTTTCAAGAATTTCAACCCATTTCTACGAAAACTTGTTTTTCCCATACAAAATACATGGGGAACTTTGAGCGCTTTGAGCGACCTTTAAATATTTTTTGATTTTGAAATAAAAAAACCGAGGTATAATTTTTTTCGGTATACAACAATTATTGGAGATGAGAGCATTAAAATTCTAACTTTACTTTTTTTTACCATCCTAGTGCCCATACGTACATACATACGAGTACATACCCTCCAGTACTGCTGGAGTCAATCGCTACTTTTGAACCGCTACTGCACCGGCTCTTAGGTAAGTAGTTACTCTATTGCCCGTGGTAGTGCACATGGCAATGCAGAGTCGAACCAATCGGAAGCAGAATAGCGAAAAACTACGACAGAAGGCGCCCATAAATCAGGCAAGTGACTACTTTAGTAACTCCCGGTAGTGTAGGGAGAGCCGATGGTGACTTTCGCCTAGGACATTGCCTTGTAAAAGTAATCGCTGAAATACACTGCAAGAAGTCGGTCCGTCATTGACGGATTTTACCAAGTCGCTACCTGCAGGGTACATACATTGTACAGCAAAATACACATACATAAACACAATTGGAAGCAAACTTCTTCCAGCAGTGATTGTGAGGCGAAAGCAGAACTTCGAACAGCTTAGAAATATATACATACGTTGGAAATGGTCACAAGTGGTTAGAGGGCTAGGAAAATAATAAAAACAACAATTTGCTTGAATAAGTCAAACAAATTAAATAAAAGATATTCATGAAGAGGTCACAATGAAATAATAATGGAAAATTTCCTGAGGTATTCAACGCTTAGGTATATGCTTTTAGTCACCTCAAGAGATGAGAGCTTTTAAGGACGTGCATACATATGCTTGTTTTGTATAAGGTTCATTCCATTGAAAAGAGGAAAACGACATACATTTGAATATGCCCCAATTATCTCTATTTCAGTAGTAACCTCTTTTTGAATGACTACATTTCATTAACCTGTGGAAAAAATATTAAAAAAACAAAAGAGATTGTAATTTTTGTCCACTGACACTTCTATTTCATGCATAATTACTTAACAACAGTCACAAGGAGATGTACCACCAGTCACAACTTTAAATATTTTTTAATATTTCTATGTAGATTATATGAACCTCATTTTTATTGAAAACAAAAGCGTATAATTCATGTTTTACAGCACAAAAACATCGTTCCGAAAATTATGTGTTTTGGTTACAATTCATCTTTGAGTGCACTAGGGTAAAATACAGTTCTTTTCAGCGTCCCACCAATCACATTCATTCAAATGATAGTAACATAAAACTAAGAAATCGTTTGGTATTTTTGTAAAAGTAGTTTTATACATTCGTTATCGTTCTATGTTAAAAAATATCTTTCGCTCTTGTATAACTTCCGACGACATTGTTAAAATTCACAATTGATCACATTCTGGAGTAAAATGTCCCACTAGTCACAATGGAATGGCCCACAACAAAGTGGTGTTATTTTCAATAAAAGTTTGTGCTTCGTATAAAACAGATAAAGCAGGTTGTAATACCAAGCGCTAGCTAAAGATGTGCAATAACCGTAAAAAAAAACATTTCAGCATTGATACATCTATATCTTATGTGCGAATTCTCATACAACAATTTATTGGTGCGCACTGTTAATTTTAAATAATATTTAATGTTTCAGAAAATATTTAAATGAATGCCCTTAATTAACCCTCAATAACCACAAAAAAGACAAGAAAAAGTAACATTAAATTAAACTAGAGAAAAACAGCAAAAAGAGAGCAAACGAAGGCGTTTTGTCGCTGACCAAACCCTCAAATGAGCAGAGACTTTGCGGGAATTTATGGTATTTTTCAAATTTAAAATGAAGCTAAAGCAAAGAAAACCTTCAAGAAGTTTTCACATAGTATGTACATTAGGGTGGTCCTTAAAAATATTAACATAATGTTTTATATACAACAGAAAAATACACTAAAATTTCAAAATTAAACAAAAAATGTTGGAGTATCTGGCAGGGTATAAAAAAATCTACAGCCATTTGGCGGCTTTACTGAATACACGTCATATAGAAAGAGGCAGCATCACTCTAAAGCATTCTGCAGGAATGGCTTGCAGAGTATGTTTACCCTCATCCTTGCAAGGGCTGGACACTCGCACAGGAAGTGTTCGACTGTCTCTTTTGAGCCCGGGTCATCGCAACTACTACACCAACGGATCAGTGCCCTGTGCTCACTGTCATAAGTCTTGTCTTTGCTCATTCCTAAGAGAGCTTTGGTTTAAGTGGGTCGTAGGACCCCCAGAACTGCCGGGTAGTCCTGTACGATCCTGTACGGTTCCATCTCTGCTTAGCCTTCGAGTGATAAATTTCGGTTATTGTTGCTTTTATCTCCCTGAGCGAGGCGTTTCCGTAAATGTGCCAGGAACCATATTAGGGTAATTTCGTATCGATCAGAGATATAGGCCAGCTCTCTCTTACAGTCTTCCACTAGTTGAGATCAAACAGAAGTAATGACCGCTTGGCTATCCGAGAAGTTATTCAGATGAATATTTAAGAAAAAAATTATTGGGATTTTTTAGCAAGAGATTTCACACTAAATTTAAATGGTTGTAAATAAAAAAGCAAAAATATGCAACAACTACATGGCTTTATTGTAAAATATACTAAAATATCCGCAATTGATATGCAAAAACAGATATTTTTTGCAAAACAAATTTTTTCAAACCCTGGTAAAACATTAGAAAATTTCCAGGATGTCTCTATTTGTACGTATAATAAAATAAAGGGGTGCCACATACACAATTTATGTGCTGATAATTTAAGAACCACCGTAATATACATATATACATACATATGTACATTCGAATCAAACATAGACACATAAAACCAGCATGTACATACAATTACATTATGTGGCATGTCGCTTCATATTACCATTTGTTAGCTCGCCAAACAGCAGTCCAAATAGCGAAAGAAGGTCGCGCCAAAAAGGACCTTAACCTCAATTACACCAACGCTAGTTTGGACGCACAGAACGACGACTAAGGCGGTGTTTTATTTCTTCGTAGCAGGTATAACTCACCTTCAACACATATTTCTCACATTGGCTAAGTGATACACACTTTAAGGTGTATTTTCGTAGGGATGTCAGTAGCAAAGTACATCGATATTTTTCAATACATCGAAGGGAACAAACACATCGATTTGCATAGGATTTTTCAGATATTATTTCACAGCAAAATATGTTATAAGCAAAATTGTTCAAAATTTCAAATTAATTACTCTAATTGAGCTAATTACGTTTCTAACGGAACTTTTTAGAGCCATTTCAAATTTTTTGCCAAACTCGCTTCTCTTTTTTGCATTATTAAAAAACTGAAATGGCAATGCGATGTATTAGAGATGTCGGTTTTACAAAAACATCGATGCATCGATACATCGACTAGTTATAGATCGAGTGAAAAAATCTCGATGCATCAAAGCAAATCATCGATATTTTCGATGGATTTTTTTTCGACCTCCCTAATTGTTAGTGATATTCAGTTGGTTTTCACTTTTACTGCTTTCCTTTCGCGTCCGACGAAGCAGCAAATCAACCAACCTACAACGGACCAACGCCTTCTTTTATTCAACAACTGTCAAGCGGTGCACCAATGATTGAATTATTACTCTCCATTTGGTGGCTACGTTTCTAATAATTTTGTCGTTTTTCTGTAGCAGCTGGTTTTTTTGCGTGTTTTTTTTTTTTTTTTGGTTTCAACTACAAACATTAAAGCGCTTGCTTAATTTATCGCTAGCTATTGCTTTTAACCTTAAATAGCACAGAAAATGTGTTTATATATTTTTTAGTTGCCCCCTGCCGAAAAAATTATCAATTGATTAAAATAACCAACTTCTAGCTAGCTTTTTTGCGGGATTGCGATAAATAACTAACTTTTAATTAGCTATGACAAAACTAACTTTAAGTTAGTGGTTAGGAGTCATGCAGACGTTATCGGGGGATTGGTTTCTTTACAAGTTTCTATTGAAATATTCTCATAAAAATTACTTTCAATGAACTTTTTTCCTGCACTTCGCAGATTCTTTTCGTACTTAGGACAAATAAAATAAAGGTCGAAATTTGATATTGTTATTTTGATGTTTTATCTGATCGAATTCAAGTATGAGACCACCTACAAAAGAACATGTAAACAAATAAGCAAATATGTAATGTTAAATTAAATAAGTAAATAAATACAAATACAAAGAATTTAAAAAGTCTTTTTTTATTGATAGTTTATGTGCAAAAGTAGTTAGCTACAAGTTAGTTGACATCTTATGCAGAGTAAACCAGTTCTCACTATCTTGCGGCCATCGCCCTTCAAAAGTAGTTAGTTACCGCCAAGGAAATAGTTGATAAATAGTTAATAATAGTTACCACTAGTCGACTGCTACTTAGTTAATAGTTAGATAAAAACTAGTCCAATTTCCTGCAGGATCACAACTAAGCACTACCGCTTTGTAAATATCGCTGCTCCCGGTCTGGGTACTTTGACCAAAATTTAATTGCAAAAAAATCGCTAAAAAGCTGAGGCGGATTTTAAATTTAAGCGGTAAAACTTATTAAGTCCTTTTATTTCATGAGACAGTTTTTTTTCTAAATCATAATCCAGGCTCAACAAGTAAAACACACGTTTATTGCAATGTTTATAAATCTAATTTTTTAATATTTTATTTTTTTTTTACAACTGGGGGTTTCAAATCACAAATATCACTCCATATTCACTGAGTGGTAACAGGTACTTACATCTAACAAATCGCTGTTCATCGAAGAGTTTCAGTAATGTGTTTCCTTGGTCTTTTCGGCACTGGGGACTTTAATGTCCAAGAGGATAGTGTCCGTGACCACCATATCCATAGCCTTCTTGGTTGTAATACACTTGAGGGTGGTGCGCATGTCCGATCTTCTTTACGACGGCGTTGAAGCCATTATGATCATCAGCGGTGTATTCCACGACGCGGGTAGTGCCATCGGCTTCGGCCAGTGTGTAGCCGCCTAATTAGGAGGAGAGCTATTGTTTAGGAAACTTGCAGCCGATTTTTCTACTTTCATTTACTCACCCTTAACCTTATCGCCGTCACGCTGTTCCCATTGGCTCTTGTGATCGCCAGTATGTGCGTCCTTAACACCATAATCGAAAGCATATTTGGGGTAGTGATGTGGTTCGTGATGTTCGTAGTGATCGTGTCCATGGCCATTGTAGGCCACCAGGTTAACTGGAGCCAAGTAGGCGGCGTGATGAGGCACAACGTCATGTTGCACCACCGAAGCATAGCTGGCAGCGTGCCCGTGGGGTATGTATCCTGCGTAAGCCATACTGATGGACGCAACAGCGATAATAGCGAGACCGGAAAACAGCTGCATAATTGTTATGATAGGAAATTTTTAATTGAGTGTGGAGTGACTAACTGAACTGAGTGAACTGATACTAATTAAATTTGTATGCGAACTATTTATACCAAAACGGGCTTGTTCGTTTGCCTTTACGTTAACAGCATTTTGACTATGGGCTTCTAATTTTAAGAATGCAAAGCTTTGCTCAGTAGCAGGGATTGGTATGGTATGAACAAAAGGCGGTACAATGAAACTTTGTGTTATAAAACACGCAATATGTAATTAAAAAATTGTATGCAAGAATGAAAATGTATATGTATAGTGTATACATAATTTTTTTTTTTGCTGCAAGTGTACTGTATCTATAGTACTACCTTTCACATAACGCCCCACCACATTTAACACGTCTACAGCTAATTTTTGTTTTACTAATTTTCTAATATGCAAGCCATCAAAGCAATAATACAAATCCATACAATTACAATTCGCCTTAGTACCTGTGCTGATCGACAATCGATTGGGTAGTCGCAAGGTCATTGCTCGAATTTCCAGCGGCAAATGGCCCGTCAAGCAGAAGGCAAAAACTAAGCCTAAGCATGTAGAACCCTCTCCGCTTCCCTTTGAGCAATATACGTTTAGACTAAAAGGCAGTGTTTTTAATGTTGCTATTTTACACGCCAATTCGTTACGCTTCACTTAGTTGCTTAGCTTCTTTGCTGCGGTGGTAAAAACTCCAGGCGATTATTAGTTTTTATAGAAATTAAAATTGCTTTAATTTATGAGTTTTTCGAGCAGTTTTAATTTCAGACACAATATGTGAGTGTCTGTATATCTGACATTGTTAATAAGCTATTATCACGTTCTGAATAATTTGATTGACAACAGCATTTTTTCTTTGGTTGGAATTCCAAAGCCATGGGCACTTCTGCTACGTCATTCATATTCCACGGAACCAAATAGCAAACAAGGTGTTAAACTGATGTTTCTGGTTTTTTTTTTATTTGTGTGTTAACCTATGTATGTGGTGTATAATAGAGTGGCCGACATATTCGTGTTCTTAGTCTGCACATTGTGAGTTGGATTTTAGTATAAAAACTTAGTTCAGTACTTCAGTGAGCATCAATTCAGTTCGACCTCTTTCAGAGACAAATACCTACTTACATCAATCCAATTTTAAAGGAAGTTTTCATACCAAAATGCAGTCGCTTTCCAGTATTGCTGTTGTGACTTTTACACTTTTCAGTCTGGCTTACGCAGGATATATTCCATATGACCACGCTAATAGCTACGCCGCGGTGCAATCTGCCGTTGTACCACACCATGGCGCATACTTAGCACCTGTCAATGTAGTGGCCTACACTGGCAATGGATATGATCACTATGAACACCACGAACCACATCACTACCCCAAATACGCTTTCGATTATGGTGTTAAGGACGCACATACTGGCGATCACAAGAGCCAATGGGAACAGCGTGACGGCGATAAGGTTAAGGGTGAGTAAATGAAAGTAGAAAAATCAGCTGCAAGTTTCCAAAACAATAGCTCTCCCCCCAATTAGGCGGCTACACACTGGCCGAAGCCGATGGCACTACCCGCGTCGTGGAATACACAGCCGATGATCATAATGGCTTCAACGCCGTCGTAAAGAAGATCGGACATGCGCACCACCCTCAGGTGCATTACAACCAAGAAGGCTATGGTTATGGGGGCCATGGACATTATCCCCTTGGACATGCCAGCAGTTATGTGGAAATCAAAGAACACCATTAATTGAATAGCAACCTGTGATCGTAGATTTGAAGCGGAACAAAAGTAGAACTGTAGTTGGCTGTAGAGCAACATAAATACATTTTATTATTAAGCGAGTTGTACGTTCATCTATAGTATATAAAATGTTGTATTCACCTCATTACGTTCATTTCTTAAAATGTATATTTTTAGAGCTCGTCCTTGTAAAAATTAAATATCATCCAAATACATAAGCAATTGTTTTAAAACGAAATATTTTTACTATTTTATTTTTGATAAAGAACATTATGAAAGGGTTGGGCGCGAACACACATTTCAGCTTGAAAATTAGATTGATAAATGTCCTTATAAGCAAATAAGAAATTTTCGCCCTACACCCCTGAGCTGAAAGCATTTTTGCAAAGAAATTTCGATTTCTTTTGCCGAATCAATTTTTAAATTTTTGGTGACACTCACTTACATTCGGCAGATCAATTTTTTTAAATAGTTCTATTGGAATAATCGAGAAACTTCCGTAACAAAAATTTAATGGTTTTTAATGAACTTTAATTTTTTGTCATTCCTTAAGATCCGACTCAAAATTTTTTGTTCGAAATCGGTTTGCAAATATAATTTAGAATCGAAGGTGTACGGCGAAATTTTTTTCTGCTGTGGTCTAATGTATAGTTTTGAGCGCCAAAAAATCGCATTGATTTTTAATATGTGTTTTGCTGACGGCTTTTGCGATTTTTTTTTTTTAAATAAATAGCGAAATGTAGGAAAACTGGCGTAGACTTTTTTTATTTTTTTCGCAAGTGGTATTGCGCATATCGTCCGGTTTCTGCGTTAACCTCGTATCTGCAATAGAATCATTTTAGAGAATGTAAGAAAAAATGCTTATTTTCTTCAACTAGGATGTAATAAACGCATTTTTTACTTAATATTTCTGGTTCTATTAACACTAGTGAGCACGAACATTAAGTTTTTGTTTAATTTTCAAATAGTGTGACGCTTAAACTTTTGTTATAAGTGGTAATATTCGTTATCCCAACAAATGTAGATACGTGGTTAACGCAGAAACGGGACGATATTCTTCCATATGAAATTCATGTTTATATGGAAAAAAGTGCAAAACATCGTCAACAATAAAAAAAAAAAAATTAATAAAAATCAGTCGCTCAAAACTTGCACTTATGTTACTAAAATTTTTTAAGCCTATTACATGCATACCCAAAAAATTTCCAAAAATTCTGGTTAAAAAGCTCGAAATTTAGACAAAATTTTTTGGAATTTTTCCAAGTTCTGCATAAAGTTTGAAAGTGTGATTTATATGGTTTTTCCTAAAGCATGAACCATATTTTTATAAAAAAATATCAAACAAATTTTAGTTTTAAAAACATTGTAAATATTGAAAACGAAACACCATTCATCCATTATCGGCCGCCACTGTATGTACGCATGTTAAAGTTTCAATTAGCCATTACATGTAGTTACATACAAGGTGAGAACAGCAATAAGGGGCTTAAGAACATGAAGGCTCCTGAGCTGACGGTATTCCGACTGAGCTGTTCCAAGCCGGGGGCAAAGAGTTGTTGGGGCGCATGCACCAGCTTTTAAGCAGAATTTGGTCTGTTGAATTCATGCCCGAAGACTAGAATCTCAGTGTACTTGGTCTAATCCACAAAGTAGGAGATCACGCCGTTTTCGCGGAATAAGACCTCTTAAAATTGCGTACAAGATTCTGTCGATGATACTGTGTGAAAGACTGAAGCCGTTCACGAACCAACTCATATTACCTTATCAATGTGGCTTCAGACCAGGTAAGCGCACCATTGAGCAGATCTTCACAGCACGTCAGATCCTGGAGCAGACTCTACATAAGCAAATCGACATATCATTTGAAGAGTGTACTCTTTTCATTGTTGTATTCTTAACTATTTTTGTAGTTATTGCCGAACAATCATTTCATTGGTATCCATGGGCGTAGCCAGGTAGGGGCAGGGGGGTGCTCGAGCCCCCCCTTCCCCCCCCTAAATTTAATTCTGGCTACGCCGATGTTGGTATCCCCACGCATAAATTCAAATGTACAAAGTCGGAGGCAAGCACACATCGTACAGCTCGCTGCCTATTCTCTTAATTTTGTAGAGCCGAGCGCAATTGTGCACAAGGGTATTATTTGTAACAACCTAAAGGAATTGAGATGGATATAGACCTAACATATATATATCGTTACCTTAATATAGAAAGGCCCTAACTCATTTTCATTTGGAATGCATATTTATAAAAAATCTGTCAAATAGCTCACAATTTAGAAATTAAATAAAATTAGAAATTTAAAACAAATATTAAAGCGTAAGATAAAATAGTATGTTTAATAAAAATCAGCACTCGCTGAAACTCGCAACCGTACAACTTTGCCTTTCAAACTATGTTTGAAGAAACAAAATTGTCATATATACGGCCTTTCTATATTATAGTAACGATATTTGTATACCAAAATACTCAGCATAAAAAAGAAATCGATAAAGCCATGTCCGTCTGTCCCTCCGTCTGTCCGTATACGCGAAAACTCGGGCAAAAATGGAGAGACATCAAGGGTGCCCATTATCCAAGGTAGGTTAGTAAAAACAATGGTCGAAATTGTACTGTAACCAGGCCCACATCTCATATAACGGTATTTCCGAACGATTCAAAAACTACGTCATTTCCGCATATACTGAATTCAAATTGTTAAATGTTGGAATCGGAATTAGAATTTTGGCATAAAATTCGACAAGAATAAAATTTTTTCAAAATGGGCGTGGCACCGCCTACTTACTAAAATGAAATGAAATACCGTATCTCAGTTGCCGTTTTACCAACCCGCATCAAACTCAGTACGAACTAGAGGGCTGCATGAATCAAAAGAGCTTATGAATTATTCATATACAAAACGAATGATTTTGGCTTCAGTTTGTTTTACATTTGATACCTGTTCTGATATGTGTGTTGACACAACAATATTCAAACAAAGTGAAAATAAATTGAATTGAAATAAATGAAAATTTTTTGTATGAATATCCAAACATATTTTTTCTATTACAATACGAACAAATTTTTTGTGTAGAAAAAACTATAACCGAAATGAGTTTGAATGATTTAAATGTTTTTCATTCATTCATTCACATTCTTCCATTTGAAGGTGGAAAATTTAAAACAAAATGTATATTCATAACTTACAAAATTCCAAACGCTGAGTGTTTTGTATGTTAAGTAGAATATTCAAATAGAGTATAGTACTATTTGGCTAGAAGTTTGAATGAATTCATGCAGCCCTCTAGCACGAAGTCAAAAGAGGCACTACTCAAAATTCAGATCCGAAAATATAATTGCTTGTGTATCGTACAGATTCAACACAATTAGTACAAAAATAGGTAGATAATTCCTACGAATTGATTTATGGAAAAAAATCGACAAAAACTTTTTTGATTTGTGCCACTTTTGAAAAAGTAAGCGCTTTGTCAATTTCTGCTAAATTCGGGACGGTAAGTGCAATAGCCCTTGGCACAAAAAAGGAATATGTTGAAAGTTTTTGAAATCGGATTAAAACTACGCCCATTTCCCATGTAACGGTAAATTTCACTTATGACCACATAAATGTATATCGGAAAGCGCTTTATCGATTTCTACCAAACTTTGTAATTTTTTCACTATTATTTAATACTAGCCAACGCCCGCTTACTTCGCGGCACCTAATGAGAACTTTTGCGTTGGCCAATGCAAAATAGCGTTTAAAAGCAAAAATAGCCTGTAAAGTCAAAATTTTTGGTTTAAATTGAAACCACTAAGGCGCAGTATCCTGCTCACACATAGGCCAATATTAGTAACGCATATGGAATACCAAACCCTTTCGGTGTCCTGAGCTTTACCGATGGTCTTACTTCCACCTTCGAGATCTCTGCCAAGCATGCGTAATCTTTTTCTATGATCTTGCAACTGCAACATTGGTGCGATGCGTATGCCAATAAAAGTTTTTATAAGGAAACTCAAGAGCACAGAAGTGCGTTTTCTGTTATAGGAGGGCCAAGAATCCTCGCTGTCCCACAGGATGAAAAGTTTTCAGGTAGATTGGCTAAATGAGTCGTGTGATCTCTTGAATATATTTCAAATGAAGCAATTGATATACTTACGGTGATCTTTCCTTGCTAATTCGCCACTTTTACACTTCATGGTAATATTTATGAACTGATTTCTAGTTAGATGCAAGATCGCATAATCGTGCATGAGCGCCTCAGACAAACTTAACTCCATCCTCAATTTAGACATCTGAAAACTAAATTCGATAACTTAAATATAGGGCCAAAGCAGACCAACCACACGGGGTTTCTATACATTTCCGCTGCAGCGCCATCAATTGGGTTCATTTCTGCAAAACCATGCTTACCATAAAGTAAATACGAGTTATGAATTTCACCCTCGACTCCAGCGGCACTCATCGGGTCGATTTTTATCAAAAGAATTTTCCATCATACAGGTACATAGCTTACATTTAAAATTTGAACGAAATCGGTTAATAAATACGATTTTTATAAATAACTCTACTCCAGCACCACCTAGCGAGTTTTCTAGTAGCATGTAATAGGACCATATATGTATGTAAGATAACCTCCGACAATCTGACGGAACTCTATTCAGTGGTTTTAGAGTTTAGTCCGAACAACGAAAAGGACTATCATTTTATGCAAATAGGTATATAGATAGGACAGTCTATAGCGAAACTCGTAAAATCAAAGCTCCATTCTTTGTGGAAAGTTTAACAAAACTTCTTCAAAATTTTCACTAAAATTTTACCTTTTACTAAAAATTAAATCAAAATTACAAGAGTTAATGGGATTTAGAAATCTAGGAGAAAATGGGTCCCAATCGAATGATACTTGCGCGTTTACGTAAATGTATATCGATCCAGCCTTTCCAATAATTACCACTTTTCGCCATAAGTACGGTATTGATAACATATGTAGCTGTGCCGAATTTCAGGACGTTAGCGTAAGCGGTTCCAGAGA